GTGGGGAATGCTGAGCCCTGGGGTGCAGCTGATGGGTCAGTAAGACACAGCTGGAGCTCTCCCTTTGATCCAGCCCGGGGTCAATCCCTGCCCATCCCGCTGGGCCTGGCTGCCAGGCTGAGGGATTAGCCCCTGGGGCACATAGCTCAGGGATTAGTGGTCCTGGGGCCATGCTGGGGGTACAGCCCCAGCCAGGAGAGGAATTTCCTCCCAGCCCCAGGAGAGGGGGAGGTTGCCAGGCCCCTCTCAGGGGCTTTCGTGGAGTGGAAAAATGGCCTAAAAGTGACCTTTATCCTTCTTCCTGAGGCTCCTGCATGGTTTTCTGCTCTGTTCCCCTAGCAGAGACTGGATCCAGGGCAGGTTGGGATGCTGGGGGCAGCTGGAGCAGCTGGGGTGGATGGAGAGCTGCCTATGCATCCCATGGCCCTGGGAAGGATGCTCAGCTGGGAGAGGTTTTCCCACCACTTCTTCTCACTCATTTTTCCCCTTTCCCCATGTCATATTGATTTCCAGGGGCCAAAGGGTGAGCAGGGCCCACCAGGGATCCCAGGATCCCAAAGCTTGCCAGGAATCAAAGGAGACAAGGTGATTGCTCCTGTCTGCTCTGGGGTCCAGCTCAGGGAAGCTGCACTGAGCTGGGCTGATCCTCCCTGTCCTTCCTCCAGGGCTCCCCAGGGAAAACTGGTCCCAAAGGCAACACTGTGAGTACATCACCCTCCTGCCTGTGTCTGCACTCACCTCTGTGTGGGGCTGGGACACACTGACTCCAGGCACCTTCTCCCTTCCTTCCCACACATCCTGGTGGGTCACAGGGGGGAAAGGAGAGTTCAGGAGCTGCAGAGGAGGTTGGTGGGTTTGGTGAAGGTTCACATCACTCTTTACCTTTCCTCTAGGGTGATCCTGGTGTTCATGGCCTGGCAGGGCTGAAAGGAGAGAAGGTGAGTCCCTGCAGATGGGTCCTGGGGAGGGATGAAGGGACAGGGGATGGATGTGGGTCCCTGCAGATGGTTCCTGGGGAGGGATGAAGGGAAGGGATGACAGGGGATGGATGTGGGTCCCTGCAGATGGCTCCTGGGGAGGGATGGAGGGACAGGGGGTGGATTTGGGTTCCTTCAGATGGTTCTTGGGGAGGGATGAAGGGACAGGGGATGGATGTGGGTCCCTGCAGATGGTTCTTGGGGAGGGATGGAGGGACAGGGGTGGATTTGGGTCCCTTCAGATGTTTCCTGGAGAGGGACAGAGGGTGGGTGTGTGTTCCTGCCCATGCTGAGGTCTCCTGGGCTCCCCAGCACCACATCCCAGTAGGTACCTGTGCCTCCCTCTGCTGCATCTCTCAATTCTTGCTGTCTCCTCACTGCATTTCCCATGTCCTCTGTCCCCAGGGTGAATCAGGAGAGCCAGGGCCAAAGGGACAGGTGAGTCTCTGGGGTTTGGGAGTGAGGGGCTCCCCACACCTGGATGCTGGGTGGCTCTGGGGACCCTGAACCGGAGTCAATCCTCCTGGCTGAGGTGATGCTGATCCATGGAGCTGGTGCATGCTGCTCACTGGTGGCCTGAGAGAGTAATTCCTCAGGAGCTGGAGCTCAGTGACCACACACAGCCCTGGATTCAGCTCAGATGCTGCTTGGGGCTCAGCAGATTTGCTGCAGGGAGTGTTTGTGGTCTCAGGGTGTGCTGGGGACAGGGCTGAGTTCCTGATGCCTCTCTCCATCCCCTTGCAGCAAGGCATCCAGGGAGAGCTTGGCTTCCCTGGCCCCACAGGAGATGCAGGAGCCCCTGGAGTCAGAGGGTACCCAGGTCCCCCAGGCCCTCGGGGGCTGGTGGGGGAGCGTGGAGTGCCAGGGATGCCAGGGCAGAGGGGCATGGCGGTGAGTACCCACAGCCCCACGTCCCTCCTCTCCTCCTGCTGCCATCAGCCTCTTCAGCCCTGCAGGTGTGTTCCCTCCGACCTTCTCTTCCCACTCCATTCCCTTGGGAAGTGCTGCTGTTCCACTCAGGAGCTGCCAGTGCTTCCCTCCAGGAGGGCTGAGCTGGGATCCTGCTCTCCTAGGAGAGAATTCTTCCTCCTCACTGTACATCCAGAAACTATCTGTACAGAATCCAGCCCACAGCAAGTTTAGCTCCAATGTGGCTTTTTCAGCCTGCCCAGGGTTGGGATTTTTCCAAGAAATCTCATTTTAGACTCAAACCTGGAGCTGCAGGGAGTTCATGGTTGGAGTGGGATAGATGCAGCATGGCATGAGCTGAGCCTGGAGCACTTGTGCTGGGATAGAAGGGAAAACAGAGGGTGGGAAGGTGACACTGGGTGCAGGGAGATGCTCTGGATTGAGGGATCAGGATGGGAGTGGTTCTATGGGATGAGATGAGGACAGGAGGGAAAACAGAGGGTGGGAAGGTGACACTGGGTGCAGGGAGGTGCTCTGGATTGGGAGATCAGGATGGGAATGGTTCTATGGGATGAGATAAAGACAGGAGGGAAAACAGGGTGGTAAGGTGACACTGGGTGCAGGGAGGTGCTCTGGACTGGGGGATCAGGACTGGAGGGATCAGGATGGGAATGGTTCTGTGGTGAGAGATAAGATGAGGATAGGAGAGAAAACAGGGTGGGAAGGTGACATTGGGTGCAGGGAGGTGCTCTGGACTGGGGGATCAGGACTGGAGGGATCAGGATGGGAATGGTTCTATGGGATGAGGACAGGAGTGAATACAGAGGGTGGGAATGTGACACTGGGTGCAGTGAGATGCTCTAGATTGAGGGATCAGGATGGGAATGGCTCTGTGGGATCAGCTGGGGCCAGAAGGGGTGATGTCCCTTCATGGCATGTCCCTCTTGTCCCCCCTGGCAGGGCAGGGATGCTGGGGACCAGCACATCGTGGACGTGGTCCTGAAGATGCTGCAAGGTGAGGGGGTGAGCAGGGCAGTGCTGGGCAGGTGGAGCCACCCTGGGCCACCCCACCAGCCTCTCTCTGCCCCACAGAGCAGCTGGCAGAGGTGGCAGTCAGTGCCAAGAGAGCTGCCCTGGGTGGAGTGGGTGCCATGGGACCCCCTGGACCTCCTGGGCCCCCTGGACCTCCTGGTGAGCAGGGCCCACATGGCCCCATGGGACCTCGGGGTGTCCCAGGAATCCTGGGGGCTGTTGGGCAGATTGGCAACCTAGGACCTAAAGGTAGGTGATGAGGGGAAAAATCC